GTTTAAACGCGGCGGACTTCTCGCTGTTCGCGTCGGTGCAATCCTTATCCCACCACGGGGTGGGAGGTCGCTTGCGGACGGAAACACCCGGAACACGTTTCGTCTGTGCTCGCAGCGCACAATCGATGATGACACGCGCGAGAAAGGAGTACTCGTCCAGCGGAGGAAGTACGTCAACCGATTGACTGGCATCAAGAACCGCGGACGCGAATTTTCGCCAGTCAATGTTTTTCGTAAGATCGTACGCGATGTCGACCGAGCGAGTAGAAGATGAACCATTGGTAATAGAAATTTTGATTGGCAAATGGTCACTACCGTAGGGATCTTGAATTACTTTCCACGAGCAATCCAACGATAGTGAACTCGAACAAAGTGAGAGGTCTAATCTGCTTATTTTTGCTGGAGGTTTGGCAACTCGTGTTGCTTCCCCGGTGTTCAGAATTGTCATTTTGAAGAAGTCGCACATGTCGTATATCAAGGTTGAGCGGTTGTCGTCGTACAGTTCCCCCCAGCCTGTACCGTGAGAGTTAAAATCTCCCAAGATCAACCGTGGCTCCGGCATAGCCGTGCAGATATCCGAGAAACTTTGACGAGAAATCGCAGTTCGCGGTGGAAGATATACTGAGGCAATACTGAGGCATTTACCTCGAATATTAACCTGACATGCAACAACTTCAATGCCTGTCACCGAAGGCAGATCGATTCTGTAGAAGGAATGGAGCTTGTTGATCCCCAGAAGCACCCCTCCATACGAATCTGCGCGGTCAAGGCGAATAATGTTGAAATCGTGGAAAGCAAGATCGTTGTCTGAAGAGAGCCATGTTTCACAAAGGGCAAATGCATCAGAAAGTGAGTTGTTAACTAAAAATTTAAATGTGTCAAGTTTTGGCATAAGACTTCTACAGTTCCACTGAAGAACAGAGATCATATCCCCGACCTCATTCGGAGAATTATCCATCGAAAGATATGATCGATGCAAGGAAGGACCACCTAGAAGCTAGTTGCTTCAAAAGAGTTTTCACCATTGGCAGCACTAAATTAATAATGCTCCTCGTTGAGTCAGAGACATTGAATATACTGAAGAAGCTATCCACAATACCAGAAAACGTGAACATGGGGGCATGTTCTTGCTGATTATTCAGCTGCTTTTCTGGCCGAAAAACTGGGACATCTGGGGTTTTAGATGATCCTGGAAGTGACGGAAAGTTCTTGTCATAATTACAAGGTTTAAAACCCGGTGGAATGGGTTTCGGTGTATTTCCGTTACCTCTTGAATTTTCCAAGGTGGAAGGGTGGTCCGTACGAGTGGCCTTACGAGGCTTTTCGGTGGTGTGTTGTTTTGCTCGTTTTCTCGTATTGCCTTTAAAGACAAACGGACTACCCTCACCGCCCTCTGAGTCAGAGTCTAGATCATCAACTGGCAAAATGGAGAACGTGTTACTGTTTTTGGTGTGGTCTGAGAAGATGAAGCGGTATTCTTCAAGAGTTCTGCTAGTGTTCTCTTGGAGCGAGCTTGCAGAGACCGCTTAAGTTTTTCTCCCTGCTGTTTATACCTCGGGCAGTTAGTCAGGGTATGCAGGCTCTCCTTGCAGTACACGCATTTTGGTGGAGCACCGCAAGGGCCCTCTTGATGTTGCTCGCCACACTGATCGCAGCGTGGTTTGTTCGAGCAGTAGTCCGATGTATGACCAAGTTGTTTACATTTCGAGCAGTTCATTACCCGAGGTACAAACAGGCGTACAGGCAGCCGAACCTTGCCAATAGCGACGTAGTGAGGTAACGCTGAACCCGAAAACGTCACACGAAACGAGTTTGACAAGGAATAAGTTTTTTTGGAGCCTGCTACGGATACTGACTGCATTTGAAGGCAGTCCAATATCTTCACCTTCGGCAGAGCACGGTTTTAAAGATTCCGAAGGAATCGGGACCCAAGAAATCATCACTAGTCAAACTCGCTTCGGTGACCACTCCTTCAATTTCTACCTCACTACTGGGTATGTAGACTCGGTATTCCAATGAAAAAAGCTCGCACGCAACAATTTGGTTAGCCTGCTTCCGGTCATCAACGGTAACGCGCAGTTTTATTGGTGTTACCTTGAAAATATCGGTAACGGCCGAAAAATGTGTTGTTAGATCCTTAGAGATCCTCGGAATGTTCAAAGGTTTTTGTTTGGGCCGGAAAAAAACAACCCATGGGCCTTTCGAGGCTTCTGGGTAAGCCTTTAGGCGGGGGAGCGCAGAGGTTTTTGGGGGCAATGGTGTGGGGGGTGCAGGTGGACGAGGAGGAGATGCTGGGGGAGAGGGTTGTGGGCGATACCTTTTCTTGGGATATGCTCCAGTATTTTTGCTGGAGAGCGAGTCAACTGGAACGTCAAGGGTTTCCATTTCCACAACTTCCTCGAGACTTTCGTGTGAGGTGGAATTAAGAGTTTCGTCGTCTGAGATGGAAAGCGACCATCCCCCGCCTTTATCATTTTCATCCATTGCGGTTAAATATCGCCGCAATGGTGTTTTTTGTAAAATTTTTTACAAATAATTGCAGTAATTTCAAATAATATCAAAAATAGAAAAAAAAAATATATATATATAGTTTCACTCTACTAACGAGTAATACATGCAAAGAAAAAAAAAATCAAAAAAAAAAAAAAAAAAAATGATTATATACTATTTACAGAGTTTTGGATCACCCTAAGTAATACAAAAATAATAATAAAAAAAAAATCAAGAAAAAAAAATCAAGCGAAAAAAAAAATTGGATTTTTGGATCACCCTAATTTAACACCAATCTAATATTGGACCAGGGAAACAAGGAAGATGCTATACTGGCGAGAACAATACAAACGACACGATTTATACCTAACGCACTGAGGCGGCAGCAGACTGGAGAGATATAATTGTTTGATCCAACGGCTGCAGAGTCAATAACCTCGATGCTGGTGTGCCTCGGTCGACTCGGTAGGCAATATGACGCTCTTTCGTTGTTGCTATCGATGGGGTGATGTACCGATAGTGGTGATGATTTTGCTGATGATGTTGGGATGATGCGGGGTTAAAGCTGGACCGTAATGAAAGCACTCGGCATATCATTAACGGCTTCCTCACTCGCGCACTAGTCGTCTAAACACTATGCCAATTAACTTTGGCGAGAAAAAACCCTCGCGTGGGGAAAAACTCAAAACTCAAATGATAGTGTCGTACAACGAGACCGATGCGACTTGATCGGCTCAGCGTGCGAGACGGAATGAGATGAGGAGATGAAAGTATAGAATTGATAGTTTCGTTATAGTACGGCAGTGTGAAGAAAGTAGAAAGCAAGCAAAGGATAATTTTGAGGAAGGGAATTTTTAATTTATGTTGTATCAATGCTTAGGTGTTATAACAGATGTGAAAGATCTTGGGTATACAACAATTGAATGTATTAATTACAATTGTTACATATAAAAATGATGTCAACCTTAGGGTGGCCATCTCGCCCCGTCAACCCCTACAGGTTTAGAAAGCACTCAAATGACCATTTTGGAAGAGCAACAACACCAAGTTCAAGACCGGCGTAAAGCCCCAGTAGGGACATAATAAAGCCAATAAAGCAGAACTGGTTTAAAATACACTACGTTGAGAGGAACCTTAAATTCCTAAAGAATTCTAATAATTCTAGTAATTCTAACAGAAGCCTCGCTTAACTCAGTTTGTAAGGTCAAGTTTGTAGGTTTTCAAGATCATGGTATCAGCACTTGAGCACTTGGTAAATATAGCACTTGAATTAGCATTTCAAAGTGTTGCTATAAACGAAGGTCTGAGGAACGTGATTAAAATAGGAAAATAATGACCATGAGTGTTGATTTACTGATGGGCAACTATTTATAAGTAGCAATGCCAATTAGGTGGAAGAGTAATAGACTAAATTCAATTATGATTTACTACAATCGTAGTAACTTATTCAGTCAACACTACCAAAGTTAATATCGAAAGGACCATCGAGTTACGAAGGTGATTTTCGGAAATTTGTATGAGAACATTGATTTAAGTAACCTGGACTTCCATCGAGTTAGGGCAGCAGTGTTAGCAATTGTAATTGACATATACTTGGTGGTAATAACATTTCATATTATTTAATAATTTCAAACTATTTTTATTTTGTATGTATATTAGACCTGTTCATTTTAACAGAAATGTTCGGGATGCACCGGGTCAACCGTGATTACTGTTCGTCATGTTAATTTGAACTTCTGTGCAAATTTTCAGCAAAATCGGTGATGATTTAGAGGTGCTTCAAGTTCATTTTATGTTTTTTAGGTAATTTACGGTTTATAATATTTGTATCTCAAGACTGAAACAACGAAAACAACTTTAAAAGCGAAGCTTAATGTGTTTTCTACCAACTTTGTGACTAGAGGTTGACTATTCAAAGTGATTTTACTGAAGTTTGACTTAGTTTCATGCTCGAAGATATCTTACAAAGTGCAGAATTTTAAAGTATTTGTTCTACGAACTTTCCACCCATATGATATAAAAATGTGTAGTCTACGGAATAATGTTCCTTATACTGTTTTAGCAATTTCGTTCAAACATAGTTTTCGTGTAGATTCCATAGATTGAGAGATAAAAATCAGAAAAGAGGCCGTTATAGCTACATTTCACAAGACAACAGAGCCAATAAAAGTTTCAAATAGATTGACGGAACATAGTTGCATTGCTTTTCAATGATGACCGATGACTGTTTCATTGATAGATGATATTTTTTAGAAATATGAGTCCTTAGAGGAATTTTTTTTGTCAAAGGCAATGTTACTCGAGCCATCCATATGTTTAAAATCTATTTGCAATGATATTTTTGACGATTATGTCAAAATGGCAATTATGCCAAACGATCCACTTTTCCATTTTGATGTTTTCGGAGATTATGTCAAATTAAAAAAAAAAAATTATTTGTGTGACCTTAGGCCCAACGACTTTATTCTAAATGGGCTTCACCCTTTCATACCATATCTATCTCTCCGTAGATTCCGCAAGCAAGAGGAAGCACCCGTCCACGTTGAGGTGCTCACACCGATCGATGAGGAGCCATCAGAAGACCTAGCCGACGACGACCAGCCCATCACAATGGTACCAAAGATTGTCCAAACTGCACCGAGTCCATCCACGGAACAACCACCAATAACTTCCAATACAATCAACAATGATCAGCGGAAGCAGAAACAGGCAGCCACCAATGGTAACAGCAAGGAAATCAGTCAGATGGAATCTGTGCTGTAACCGTTGCGTCCCCTTGTAGGTGTACTGTACACGTGATCATCTCACACAACACAAACGAAACACGAGTTTATGCGCGCTTGTGCTTAGAATTGTACATTTAAGGTTTAGGACGAACGTGTTTTGATTATGTTATATTTAATTGAAACAGAGCAAACAAAATAAAACAGTGTCATACAGTGGAAAAAAGTTGTCTGTGAGGATACCAATCAGAGTATATTAGGATCAAGTAAAACAAATTGCTAGCTAAACTAAGAGCGAGGTGTGATTCTACTGTGTGTAACTTTTGTATGCGTTATATATTTTTATGATTGTTCAGTTTTGACACAGCTGCTAAATAATGACCGAATTATTAAGGACGTAGTTATGCAAAGCTAGTTAACGCGAAACATCCAAATCTGAAGCCAATGTTTACACTAAAAACAATTTGATAGAGAAAAACTGATAAAAATGTAAAACAAGAGTATTAATTGGTTCTAGGTGTATATAGAAAGAGTGTGTGTATAAATGAAACGTGGATGCGGTGGATGCGAATTAAGTTTACTAAATGATAGGGTGTATCAAAAACTAAAGTTATATAGCTGTTTTAGGATTCTACACAAAAGAGTCGACAAAGAACAGTGTCATTTAAATGGCAAGATGTACTAGAAAGCTAATGCAAAATGAGCGAGCATTCTTCTTTTTTTCCTGTAGGATATATGAACTATTGCAAAATTGTTTTGATATTAGATTAACAAGTTTATTGGAGAACAAAGCCAATTCACTTTACCAGTAGCCGCTGTAACGAATTCTGAAAAAACAAACACATAGCTATAGTATTGCTACCAGTATAAAGCGCCAATGAAAACTGTAGCCAGCTTTGTTCGTCGTGCATAAGATTAAATTAATATAAATTGTGAAAGACATATTTTACAATCGAAACTCTATTTCTACTCACTTTATTTAATTGAAAGAATAAAATAAAAACTCCTTCAATTTTTAAAATTTACCAACGTAACGCTTGTTGATACATATCAAAATATAATTGAATATTATTTTGTGATTTAAGCCCGTTTAAAACTATTATTCTACCCAATAAATGATGCTATCAATCCAAAATTGGAGAAAAATATATCGTAAACGTAGTTTCCTCCCTGAGATTTTCCAAAACTATGCACGGCGAACGATCTGATGAACAAGGCTTCGTAGAAGCCAATACTTCTTGAACAAACGCTTATAACATCAATCGGATGAAAAAATGCTGAGAATATCGAATGTAAAACGTTTGTTGAAAAAGCGAATGAGTAAACGAAACACAAAGCTATTTAATACACCTAACTTCCCGAAAGAAACCCCTTGAAATCAACTGATCTGATCCCGGCTGCCTGGCTGAACATCATCGAAAACAAATGGTAAATTTGTTATTGTTTTATGTAGGTATTTATTCTTCGTATCGTTCGTGTTTATTTATTCTTCACTTCTTGTGTTTCATTTTCATAAAAATGATAAATTTAGATGGACCAGAATTATGGAGAAAAATTTAAGCGACTTCCTATCAGAATAATAGAGAATTCAAAGAGAATTGTACGAGTAATACGAAAAATTGGAAGAGAATTAATAGGGTCCAAACATTTGCTCTCTATTTAGAAAGCTGACTATACCTTTGCAAATACATAGGTATCGTCCTCTGCAAAAATGCTTCTGATCATATTTTATGAATATACCAACTCTCCATATAATTTTTGGCAAGGTTTAAAATGATGAAGAGCTGGCAAGCTCTGTATAGAAACTGTCTTAATTTGATTTAATTTCCCTGAACATGGTTCTTAAATTAATATATCAAGATATTGGTGACATGTGCAGGACTGAAGTCCATGAATATTCTTAGCATGAACTTACATGAAATGCTCTTAATTTTTTTATACCTTGCTGTGACAGTGTTGTGTTATGTTGTGTTGTGTTTGAAATTGTTTTTGATGAGGAGTGCTTCAATTGTTTCAAACGAAAGGAGATTTTGAAAGCTACCAATCAAACAATCTTCCTGCATGATCATATATTTTTTTCAATTAACAAAGTGTCCTCGGTCCCGGTCCATGAGTTGATGGGTCGATAGGTAGGGTCCAGATGTGGGAGCTGCCTCCCTGGCGTCGGTTGTATTGGTGCTCAGCATGGAAAACAAGAGCGACAGAAAACATCAAGGAAAAAAAAACAAAGGTCAAGCCATGGATTCATGTTCGTATTTGGAGGAGGAGTCATCTCATGGGCGAGTCTTCGTCAGTCCTGTGTAATGTATGGAGGCTGAGTTCGTTGCTCTGAAGGAAGTCTTCCAAGAGGCCATCTGGCTGAGGCAGTTGCTCAGCGACTTCGGAGAGGAACAGGTGCAACCTACGTTATTGAACGAGGACAACCAAGGCTGTCTATCCTTCGTACGAACAGAGTGGTGCAACCGTAGATCGAAGCATATCGATACTCGTGAGCGGTTCGTGCATGAATTGTGTGAAAGCGAGCAGGTTGAGCTGAAGTACTGTCCGACGGAGCTGATGTTAGCGGACATAAAGGGTGATACGGTCAAAATTTGGTCAATATCAACTTGACGTATTTCTTTCAATTTTGCATTTAAAAAACCTGAACACCCCTCATTTTGAAGGTGTGTGTGTGTAGAATGTTGCTCCTATTTTGATGTTGGAATTCACTCTTCAGTTGTCAAAATGCCGTCCAAGCAAGAAGAGCAGCGTATCAAAATTTTGCTCGCGCATCGCGAAAATCCGAGCTACTCGCACGCAAAGTTGGCAAAATCGCTAAAAGTTGCCAAATCAACCGTTACAAATGTAATTAAAGTGTTTGGGGAACGTTTGTCGACAGCCAGGAAGTCTGGATCGGGGGGAAATCGAAAACCGGAAGCCGCTGAGACGACAAAGAGAGTTGCCGGTAGTTTCAAGCGAAACCCTAACCTCTCTCTCCGAGATGCCGCAAATAAGCTGGGTGTATCGTCTACAACCGTGCATCGAGCCAAAAAACGAGCCGGGCTATCGACTTACAAGAAGGTAGTGACTCCAAATCGCGATGATAAACAAAATACGACGGCCAAAGCGCGATCCCGGAGGCTGTACACGACGATGCTGACGAAGTTTGACTGCGTGGTAATGGACGACGAAACCTACGTCAAAGCCGACTACAAGCAGCTTCCGGGACAGGAGTTTTATACGGCAAAAGGAAGGGGAAAGGTAGCAGATGTTTTCAAGCACATGAAACTGTCAAAGTTCGCAAAGAAATATCTGGTTTGGCAAGCCATCTGTACCTGTGGCTTGAAAAGCAGCATTTTCATAGCTTCCGGGACTGTCAACCAAGAAATTTACGTGAAAGAGTGTTTGAATAAACGTCTGTTGCCTTTCCTGAAGAAACACGGTTGTTCCGTACTGTTTTGGCCGGATTTGGCATCTTGCCATTACGGTAAAAAGGCCATGGAGTGGTACGCCGCCAACAACGTGCAGGTGGTTCCCAAGGACAAGAACCCTCCCAACACGCCAGAGCTCCGCCCAATTGAGAAATACTGGGCTATTGTCAAGCGGAACCTAAAGAAGACCAAAAAAACTGCTAAGGGCGAGCAGCAGTTCAAGGCAAACTGGCTTTCTGCGGCGAAGAAGGTGGACAAGGTGGCTGTACAAATTTGATGGCAGGGGTCAAGCGTAAGGCCCGGCAATTCGGATTTGGAAAAGCGGAAGCCTAACTGAATATTTTTCCTGAATTTTATACTAATTGAACTTGAAAAAGAAATTTAATTTGATTTTTTAAATAAACGATTTCACCGATTTACACGCGTTTTCCCTTGACCAAATTTTGACCGTATCACCCTTTATTTACTAAACCCCTTAGTCCGCAGAAGCATGAGCGTTTTTGTCAAATGTTCGGACTGATGAACAGTGAGTGAAGTTGTATCTAATTGAGGAGGTGTGTGGAGTGACAATTAGCACAATTGATATATAAATGAACATTGGCACACCCCTCATCGATTACCATACCTCCGTGAGCTCAAGATACGTAAGTGAAGAAAACGTTGTGAAAGTGAAACCCAACCGAACTGAAATATTATCGACCGAGTAGTCGTCGCGGTAACAAATGTAACTTTGTGCGAATAAAAACCTTTTCTTGCTGTAGAGTATTTTCTACGCGTGTGATTAATTCAACCTGATCACAAAAGTCCTCACGCTGTGTCCTCTTTCCACCCAATCTGCCATCAGTTATAACGTCTTCTTGTAATTTACGATTACAAAATAGCATCATATCGTCTTTTGATTTCATAATTAAAAAAAAAAAAACCTTTTTATTGAGAGGTGTGTGGAAGCAATCTTGATGCTTGTAAACTATTTTTGTTTAAATTAAGCACCCTAAGGTTTACTCAAGCCTACCTACAATTCCGATTGTCTTGAAGGTGTAAGGACTAGCGGCGCCGGGGGTGTAGTGGTAAGCGTGATTATCTCTCACCCCAGCAGGCCTGGATTTAATCCCAGTCGGCGCCGCCGGGATGTTCTGAGGCATAACATCTCAGATCAGGGAAGTAAAGCCGTTGGTCCCCGGTTCATGAGTTGATGGGTCCAGGTGTGGGAGCTGCCTCCCTGGCGTCGGTAGTATTAGTGCTCAGCAGGGAAAACAAGATCGACGGAAAATAAATCAAGGAGAAAAAAAAAGATGTAAGGACTAGTTGATCATTTAAAAAAAATTCAAATGCAGTTTATTCGTTAGAAGCCATTTTTGGCATATGAAAAAAAAAGTTCATTGTGTTCCACTAGGTATGAAAGTGGAACACAGTGATTGTATTGAATCATAGTGGCAAAGAATTAAATTTTAGTTTACAAAATTGTTCTCAAAAATATGATTGAATTATCATAAATATACCTAATGATACATATAATTTAAAACCCTTTCTTACCGTAATCCGGGGGCAAATTGATCACCGGGGTTAAATTGATCAAAATACCTTGCGTTTTCCGACAGTAAAGACTCTAATCGATGAGTTTTTCTCAACACAAACTGGTGTTCTATAGCTTGCAATCACCCTGGGCATTGGCATAACCTTGAGTATTGCTTAACTGCAACCAGGTCCCAGGGCTTGTCTGTATCTTTACATTTTGAAAGATGCACACTAGCGATGCCAGTTGTGATGTAGCGGACCAAAAGTTTGTTGGAATTTAATTACAAATTAAAATTAAATAATTGTGTGGTTTAGAATTATGATTTTAACAATGAATTGTTTTTTTTTTTCTAAATAATTGAATCTTAGAATCATTTGGTTTAACACTTTTGGAATCCGACATCACACAGGTAATACATTTGAATTTGGCGAGTGGCGATTTTCTTTTCTTTAGATCAAGACGATGAAGTATTGAAGAAGACAACGATCATAAATCACAGGGAAGAAAAAAGTTGGTCGCCGTATTACACCTGGAAAACTAGTGTGAAACAGGATATCAAGAGATCGGGCCATTCCTTGAATTTCTGGAAATAGCTGGTCAAAAACATAAACAATTTCAAAACGCCACCTACAACCCTACTACAATGGTTAAATCTGTGTACGAAGCGAGCGATGGAACTGTATCAGACGATAGCAGCAGCAATGACCTTTATCCAACGAAATTCGAGGGATTCCCTGATGAGGAAATAAACGCCATGCTGGGATTTTCATCGGACTCATCGTCAGACCTATAGAGGCCAGCGTCATTAGGCCAACAACAACATCACGGTAAAGTCAGGCAAGTCCGCATCGTGTTCTCTTACCGTGCGGATCTATTTGCTTTTTGCTGAAGGAAGTACTACCTAAAGCTACAACAAATTTAAACAGCACTTTTCAGAGCTCAACCTGTAAAATTTCTACCTTGTTCTACTCTTATTCCTCTTCGATCCTTGTTTGGACCCTACCCGAGGTACTCCTTCTTGGATTTGGATCCTTCAGATTCTTATAGTAATCTGCTTGGAAGTCGATTTGGATAAAAATTTACTGCCGTCATGGCGCCTAAACGCAAAAGAAAGGGGCAAACTCTTGATCCCCCTTCTGATGAAATTGATTTGAGTAATCAATTTGATTTGCTCACGGATGATGAGAATGATCCATCATCCAAGAAAAATTCTAGTAAACTTTCCCGGCTTAATGCCAAGAAGGAAAAGATTCCCCCTATTGTGATAACAACTTCCGATTTCCATGCTCTTCGCAATATTGTCATGACTTTAAAATTCAGCAATGGATTCGTGTTGCCAATTTAAAGCATTTTTATTGCCAATTTAAAGCACTAAATATTTTAAATTTGAATGCTCGATCCCTTAAAGATAATG